CTGACTGTAGAGTACTGACTGTAGAGTACTGACTGTAGAGTACTGACAATAGAGTACTGACGATAGGGTACTGACGATAGGGTACTGACTGTAGAGTACTGACTGTAGAGTACTGACTGTAGAGTACTGACTGTAGAGTACTGACGGAGATTGAGTGTATTGACTGTTGCATAATGGGTAATGTTCAGTGGACCAGTCTCTACATGATGAGTACATATATGTGTTTAGCATGCAGGTCAGCAAATATTACCATTAAAACTGTTGATCTAAAAGTTGCAAATAATGAGGAGTCACCCAGCCCCTTTGTTTGAGAAATGCTCTCATTCTCTGGTGTTTACTCAAAAGAACCACACACTTCTTTTACTTGCACGTCAGATTTCAGTACAGATTACATACTAACATATATAAAACATGCATAGATGTATACGCATCAAGACCAGTCACAGAAAACAGCCACAAGCTGCGTTATCTGCTCGCTTTTATACTCCTCTCAGCTCAGAGTTCTACAGAGTTCAGGCCAGGGGGTGTTCTTGAAGCCAGCTGCAGCCTTCTTACACAGCACAAACTTATGGTTCATGGGCAGATAGTGTTTTAGAAGACAACCGAGGTTCTTGTTCTCAGGGCATAGGGAAACAATGTTCTCAGCCTTAATAAAATCATTATTAGTCTTTGACCAAAAGTTCCCTGACACTCTTACTTGGACCATCAGGACTGACCTTGCTACTGTTTCTCAGAACCAGGAGGTGGTTGTGGATGGGTGTGGCCAGCAGCTGCAACGACTCGCCCTATTGGATGAGGAGAGGAGGTACCTCTCCCACTTAGACAAAGATAGGCGGCACCTCCTGGTAGAGGAGGAGAAGCAACGAGTGGCAGCGTTGCGACGCCTTCAGATTGAGTCCGAGCAGTTTCGTTTCTTCGAGGACCAGCTGAGATGCCAAGAGCTGGCCAATCAAAAAGGAGAGGAGACAGAGCTAAAGGTGATAAACTTCATCAGACATGCCCTCAGGAATTTCAGGAGGTCTTAGGAGGATTCATGGGTCTGGTTTCTCCTCCAGATGGAGACCAAAGTGTCTGAGGTCACAGATGGTTCCTGCCTGTCTCAGCAGCCAATCAGAGATGGCGTACAATCCCAGTGGGCAGACAGAAACAGAAACCGGCTTCCTGCTGCCATCAGCCAATCAGCTGCCTCTCTGGCTGGAGTACATAGTGAGTACACAGAAGCACCGGCCGCTCTGAGGATTATGAATCCAGGACTTGTTGGGTTTTATGATTTCTGTAGTTTTTAAAACACCTGAGGACACCTGGAGACCTCACAGAGTATCTGATGGACTCAGAGTCTTCAGAGATGGCTCTGGGAGGACCTAGTGTAAACAAAGCTAATCCAGGATGAGAGCCAGTCTAAGCGTGTTTGTTTTGTGTGTGCAGGTCAGAGGGTTGAGGGTCTGAGGCGGATGGTGATTCCCAGAGATCTGACTTACCGTTTTCTCCAACTGGCTGAATCCAACACGACTCGAGGAATCGAGACCTGCGGGGTCCTCTGTGGACGCCTGGTGAGTCTCCTGCTACCCCCCCCCCCCCCCCCCCCCCCCACACACACACACACACAAACTACTTCCTTCTTAACGTTTCTGTGCCTCAGACGCACGATGAGTTCCTGCTGACCCACGTTGTGATCCCGAAACAATCAGCCGGTCCAGATTTCTGCGACATGGAGAACGTTGAGGAGCTATTCAGTTTCCAGGACCAACAGCAACTGCTGACTTTGGGCTGGATCCACGTAAGAACACACGTTGAGCACACCTTGATGACCGGCTTACCTGGTCATCTTCCTCAAATGGTGACCTAAGACTGCAGCTGGACCTTCCTGGTCCAACGGGACATCAACTGTAGTTCAAAGGAACTTTATATGCTGAAAAAGACTGCGGTGGCTGGGGCAAGAGGGACGAGACGTGGGAGGACCAGGGTCCTTAACTTAAACATGACTCAAATGTCTCCTAACGTCTCCGTATGTCTCCTTATGTCTCCTAATGCCTCCTTACGTCCCCTAACATCTCCTAAGATCTCCTTGTAGCGGGAAGGGTTAATAATGATTAAAAATTTGTTATGAATTTTATTTTGAAGGGGCACCACTCTCAGCTCTGAGAAACTCTGAAGGTCTGAAAATCAATTCAGATGTTGTTTAATTACCTCGAAGTGCCCTTTTTACACTGTGAGTTCTTTTATATGAAGGATTCAGATGTCATAAATAAAACACGCACGCTTTAATACAAATTTGTGATGTTTATTTGACTATATACGATAAAATAACAGTTGGAAATTGTTTCTGACATTTAAATGAGGCTTCACAACCGGAGTTTTATGGAAATTAACGTGACCATTAAAAATGCTTGTTAGCAGTAATTAACAGATAAATGAAATTATTCTATGTGCTTAACCAAACCAAAACAAGATGCAATGTAGAACAATTGGAATTTTCAGCAGGGCAGATTAATTATACAAACTTAACTAAAAGAAAGACGTTTTATCGTTCAATAGTTAAAATTTGGTCTGAAATTTAAGGAAAAATAATTACTGAACTGAGTTAATACTAATTTGGTTAAAATCTAAATTCTTGGACACCAGAGTCAACCTTGAGAGTATCGATCAGCTGTTCCTACCAGGAGTCGTCTTCGAAGGCCGCCTGAAGATACCAGATGTTGGACTCTTTCTGCTCAGATGATCTTTGATGTAAAGGTGGAAATTCCTTCACATCCCTGACATCAAGGTGTTGAGTTTGGTCACTGGCTCTAATGGTCAACCGGAGCGTCTCCTGGAGTTCTGGACAGCTGTTGTTAACTCTGATGATGATAACTGCAGGTGTCTGGAGCGCTGAAGAGGGTTCTATCAAACTTTGCTAAACTCCAATCTTCTTAGTGGAAGTTTTTGTAGGTTGTGTCTTAAAAGTTTACTCCTTCTCCTCTTCTGGAGGTCTTCATCACTTTTTCTCCTGTTTTCTCTCATCCAACTTTCTCCTCCAACTTCCAAAATTCATCTGAGAGTCTTCCTCTCTATAGCAGACAATCGACCACACTTCTAATTTGAAAGAGGTGGTCGATTTGAACCAGTCAGAATGGAAGGGCTGGACTTTATCAACTAAATAAAGTACTATTTTAATCTGCTCTGTTGAAAAAGTCATCAAATAAAAATATTTAAGACACTTCTCAACTTTAAATGAGGTTAAAGAAACCAATAAAGATACTTTGTTAACCTAGTAAACAGAAAACACATCTGCAAGCTTTTTGGTCAGAGGTTCTTGTCAGCTGCAGGAGAAACAACAAGGCAAGTTATTTAGCTATTCACAGTAAACAATTATTTCATTACAGAAAAACAGCATTACGTCTTCTAGAATGTGAATAAAAGTCTGTCAGTTTTCTACATGCAGGAAAGAGGACCCAAGTGTCAATTCTGGAATTCCTTTGAACAGAGACGAGGCTTTTCTGTTCTTTACAATCGTTGAAGGATAGTCTGGTTGGAGGTTGGTACAAGGTGATGATACCGAAACATCCCGGGTGATCTGTGTTAACTCAAACGTCCAATTTTGGGTTCACAGAAAGGCTTTCTGATATTATCAGATTGATCAAGTATCTTTGGTAGTTCTTATAAACCATAAAAGTCTCTTTTGACACTTTCCAGAGTTAGAGATGCTGAGAACAAGGTTCAAACTGTCCCAGGGTCTGAAATGGGGCTGGAATGTCTCAGTTGTTCAAGGGAGAGGAGTTTTACTTTTTTTATTTTTCAGAGACATCTTTACAGAATGAACTACTCAGTTACCAGAAATAAAAGTGTGTTATAAAATGACATTCAGGGATGTAGGTATATCTCTACATCCTTATGTCTCCTAACATCTCGTAACATCTCCTTATGTCTTCTAAGATCTCCTAACATTTTCTAATGTCTCCTTACACCTCCTAACATCTCCTAACGTCTCGTTATGTCTCCTAACATCTTCTTACATCTCATTACATCTCCTAATGTCTCCTAACATCTCTAAACATCTCCTAGCATTTCCTTATGTCTCCTAACATCTCCTAGCGTCTCGTTATGTCTCCTAACATCTCGTTATGTCTACTAACATCTTCTTACATCTCATTACATCTCTTTATGTCTCCTAACATCTCTTTATGTCTCCTAACATCTTCTTATGTCTCCTAAAATCTCCTAATGTCTCCTAACATCTCTAAACAACTCTTAACGTCTCGTTATGTCTCCTAACATCTCCTAAC